TGAAATGATGCATGTGTCAAAAAACATTGAGAAATTAGGCCTGATTGCAGTTTCAAAGTTAACTGAATGTCTCAATTACGACATACCTCAAACAAGTTCGTGCCAATTGAAGACTTTTGAATTAATACAAATAACTATATTTATTACGAAATCCAGTTAATGCCACCCATGCATTTGTAGTAGTGACAAGAATTTATTTTCTTATTGTTCATTGTGTACCCTGTAAAGCATTCCCTTTTACCACTATATGCAGTAATGTTTACAAGTATTAAGGTTCTAAGATTTTAAGCTCACAGCCATCCTCTAATTTCTACAAACGGCTAACTAAGCAAACAAAACTGTCGTAAGGCTTCTAGATAGCCTGGAGTACATAAGTAAGAAGTTTTCAGTATACCAAAATATTGGAATATAAAGAGATTAAGTTTCAAAACTCACAAAATATTAAATATCAATAAAGGCCAAGCCATGTCAGTACTTTATAATAACTTATTTTCTTCCCATCTGGAACTTATTTCTGCACATATTCAGTATAATTTTCCATAAGTAAAGGAGAATTTTAATGGAAATTCATGTCTCAAGACCTGATAATTTTCTTCTTGCACAGCAAGTCAACTCAGTAACTGGTCCACAATATCTTAGATATAAGTTCACGCAAATTAAAGGTATTTGTATTTTAGCAAGCTCAATTGCATAACGACGAAACGTTAATGTTAGTTATATAGGTATACTTAGTAAAAATGTGTATTTTCGTAATGTGTATACAGAACATTTGTCTGGCATTTAAATTTCCAAGATATATATAATATACAATGCTGCTTTACACTCCTCTGAAGTGAACCTTACAATTTTGTTTTATAATAAATTCCACTAGTAGTGGTCAACCACAACACTTTAGCCAAGTTCTTTTAAAGAATATAGTTGATTGCTTGCCATTTGTAACATATATTGGAATTGTTGAATTAGTTTATTATGAGACCACTGACTCTTTAATACAAATAAGTATCAGGTCACAAGGTTGGATTATGAATCCTTGGTGTTGCCAGTTTCACACTATTGCTGCTATGACAGCCTCTTAATGGATTATATAAATAAGTGTAAATGTTGAATTGTGTCATACTTCTCTGGTGTACCAAGTCATTTAATTCCCATTACCCCCACATGTCCTGCAATTTTGTCAACCATTATGTTTTTTTTCTTACGCTTAGGTTTAATGTTAAGTACTTGGTAATCCAGTACTACTGTATTATTTGTTATTTTACTATATGAAACAAAAAAAAATTGCTAATCTGTGGACTAAGAGAGCTCTCGTTAAAATTAAGATTCTATTGCCAGATAAAGGCATGAGCAATTAAGTAATCCTCAATTGCAATCATAATGAAAACTTATCACTATAATTGTACTTGTATAATTAGCAAAAAGTGTATACAATATTAAGTGAGGCTACGACCTATAAGAGTTAAGCATTAACCCTACGTTGTTCTCAGCTGTTAAGTATTTTATCAGTATATGTAATTCAGCTAATAGCTTTAAATAAAGTATGTATCAGATCACATTCATAACTTATGAATTTGAAACTTCAACTCAATTAAGTGTCACGAGGTGGCACAATTACTATAATCCAATCAAAGACTTTCTTCTAATATAAATACCGATTCATATTATAATATCCACATCAGAATAATCAAAAGGATATACCAGCTACAAGTGTTTACTTTTTGTACCAGTGGGTGTTTGTACATTATTTCCCTTATAACCTCTGTGTATTTATGTTTTTAATATTAAAAGCTGAAGAGTAAGAAGGAACCTTATATATTTATTAAGAAGAAATATAACCTCTCTATTCTTTATACGTATATGTATACTATCAGAAAATATAAACTTACAATATAGTAGTCATAATTTAGATCAGTAAGATAAGACATTGTATTAGATATAAGTAAAATATTTTTATATTGTTCACTAAATATTATCTATATAACTTTTAAAGAAAATCCAGTATATGTTTATGATACATCACATTTTGTAAAAAAAAAGAGAATCGTATGTGTGGAACTTAATCTGTGATGAGTGCCTGCCAATGTGAAAAATATAAAATCCACTCCTAACATAAAAACAGTGTTCCAAAGTGCGTTCAAAGACACGCCGAAAATAATTGTGCATCGCAAAAAGTGAAACAAACTTATAAAAGAAGGCAGTAATGAAAACTGCATAAGACACTATCAATGATCAACGCCAACCACATAGTATAAAAAACAAATGTATTTCAAAAAAAGTTTGTGCTGTAAAGGTATTATCTACTGTCGCAATATTGTTCCTAAAGTGTAAATTCCATGTATGTTATAGCATAAGTATGTTAGGTTCCTGTACTTGTAGATTTTAGAACTATTCTCAAACTAAAACTTAGCGAGGTTAATGGTTCCCGTATGGAATTTATGACAACAAAAACATCACATATTGTAACTACTTTAAATTTATGTCAAAGTGTTCTTGATGTAACTGTGTAATACTTATCTAGTTAATGATAATACGATGATGAGTAACTTAAGAACAAGTCTTAACTAAATATAACAAGCCGACTTGCGGCAAATGGCTAGCTCACTAGGAATATCGCTGCGTCTAACAAAGCACGTCTTCGCCGTGCAGTTTCGCCAACATCGGCATGTAAACTTACTTTCTTACAGGAAGCAAACTCTCTAGAATCTAAGTCTCCCCTTTAAGCAAAAAAGAATTTTGTAAACCTTGAATTACTAAATGTAGATTTCATATCAAACATAAGCCAACAGGCACATAAAATAGAATGTTTAATTGATTCAGATTAACTTGTAAGTTGTGAGTGAAGTATTACCACCTGTACGCACAAAAACCTCCACTTCATATTACCCACGTCCACCGCCTAGTATTGAGGGGTCTTTTTAAACGTTAAATGTAGCGATTGACGTACGTCCCTCTACTCCGTGGTCTCACTACACAACGTGCATAGGCATTTTCCAGTGTTTAAAACCACATAAGAAATTTCCAATACTATACTAATTCATTTCTTCTACCTTGCCAAAATGTATTCAAACTAACTTAAATTCAAATCATAATCTTTCTGAAACGGAGCCTCGAATCTTGTATTCCACCCTCGACACTGTCCCTATGTATATTCGCGACTGCCACCAAGTGCCTCCAAGACGACGATTTAAGCCTGAGCTCCTCGACCTCACCGCTTCAGCTCAACCCTACCAGGACAACTATTACAAAACATGTATTCTAGAGCAGTCGGAACGGACTGCTATTTCGACCTGGGGGGTAGTGTAGCGGGCTCCAGGAGGCCGCACACTAATTAAGGTAGTACAGGGTATAGATTCCATTGAGAGCATCCTATTTATTCAACAAGACTGGCTGACCCACTGTCACCAGGCTATAAATTATCTGAGTGCATACCCCCCCCCCCCCCCCCCTCAGGCGGCAGCGAAAGATTATACTGTGACGACGTCAGTGGCGGAGCGGCACGAAACAGAAGGCTACAAGAGTTAAGGGTCTAGAGGAGCTCTAGACCGGACAGCAATCAATCCTTCTGATAATTGGTGAGCATAACTCCGGCTAATCAGTAGGGTGTCATCCCCGATCTCGAGGTCCTGTTATAAAGACTTAATTAATACGTGGCAAGGCTAGGGTATTTTGCGTAAAAGTATTTCTTGACATTTTGTAATTAACCTGTTGTACCAAAGTAGAGTAATAGTAATCCTTGTTATATTGCATTAATGTATCACTGTATTCAGGAATAGTGTTTTGTAATAAATGTGTTTAGTAGAAACCTACTCTCTTATTGAATAGCCATCTGTAGTAAGCTACCCCCCTACGTAGGCCCGTATCCTAACATGAGGTACTGTGAGTAGGAGATATGAGGAGTATTGATCAGTATAAATATAGGAACAAGTATAGGAGTAAGGAGGGGAACCCTTACAACATGCAACAGCAAGCTCTTCAAATGTAATGCCCCTTCCTCCCACTACAAATGTACAATCTTATAACTTTCAGTGGTTCTATCAACTCCATAAAAAGTGGTGCTAAAGAAGATAAAAAAATTAACAATAAATGGAATACTTCTCTTCTTCAAACATCTCCAGAAAAGGGAGGAAGGAACAATGAGAAAATTGGTGTTCGAAGAATCAAGCAGATGAAAATCACGAACAACTTCAAAAGGATCAACAACCAGACAAAGAAAGAGTAAAATATGTACGAGGAAAATCCCTGTGACCTTCAGTAACTAAAGCGATTATTCCTGCTCAGAAGAAGAAAAAACACCATGTGGTTTCTGCGGCGTCCGGGGTTATAATAAGAAAACTTGAGAATGGGTACAGTGTTAAGAGCGTAAAATTTGGTATCATGAACATTGCTTTGGGGTTTGTGGACAAATACAATTCAATTGTGGGAAGTGAGATTAAGACTGCTTTAATAGCAGTGATATTTTATGTGTTTTTATGTGTTTAATACAACAATATTTAAAAGTTGTGGAAGCAATTGACTTTCATTTCATGTTTCTGTGCTGATTTTAAATTGTAATACATAATACTTTTTTTTTTTTTTAATGGCGATTGAAATAGCCTCTCTTTCTTATTAATTCACCTCACCATTTCCGCAAAGCCCAATATTTACATGATTATCTGTTTTGTGGCGTGTTTTATATCCCTTTACATGCTCGAAATTTTATTGTACTATCTTAGTCCAGAACATGTAAAAACATTGTAGTTTAAGTACCGAATCCAAAAAATAAAACATTTACGACCTGCAATTAGAGACCAAAACTGAAACTATGAAAATAGCCCCAATATTAATGATAAAAGAACGTTTATTTAAACTAAGAGAGTGCATCGGTGTAAATGTAACAAATTCGTCTTAGTCGACCTAAAGTAACAAATTTTTGGACCAAATAAATACACACTGTAGTCACCAGCGACATTTCTTAAGACTTAAATTAGTTTACAGTGGTTCTTATCAGGGTGTAAAGATTGCCGAGGAGATGCTGGGGATTGAACCTGGGGCATTTCACATGCAAAGCAAATGCTCTACCGCTGAGCTACATCCCCAACTACACTTACTACGTGCTTTGCTTCATCATATGTTAGCACATTACTTTAATATATGGTTATACCGGCTGAATAACCGAGCTTTCGTGATGAAATTTCGGGAGTCGCCTCAGGATGAATAGTTTTAATGGTGGCAATCCATATTTTCTTTGGTTTCATTTTTGTGACATCATCAAAATGGTTGCATCAAAATGTTAAATCGTACATGTCAGTTATTTCTGGATAGAATTTTTTTTAAATATCTTATTTGAAAGAATACTTTGAGCTCTATAAAAAGTGTACTTTGTCTTTTTAAGCTAAAATGTGTGGGCTCCTATATCAAATAAAAATTTTAGTACTTCACCTTAATTTTGTGATTATAAGCCTATTCACTAAAACTATATGACAGTCCAGGTGAAGGAAAGGTGCCATGGGTTTTTAATAATAAAGCATTACCTGTAGATTAACTACTCTGTTAGTACACCAACCTACAGGATGGTGTATGATTTAGGTGGTGTTATGAATATAGTGCCATTTCAGTAACAGTCACTGTAAGAAGTTAATTATAAATATTCTTAATATTTATTGACTGAATTGGAAACTTAAATTCTAAATTTAAAGTTAACGATGTGAACTATAAAAAAAAACAGTTGAGTTGATAGATTTGAGCTGTTCTTAGCAAAGAGATCTTAGTTGTCGATGAGGGTGAAATGTGGTGAGAATGGAGCAGCGCCTAAATACAAGGACGGGGGAAACGGGAGATCCCCGATAAAACCAGTCAACCAGCGGCATCGTTCAGCACGATTCCCACTAGCGAAATGTCGCGAGAGACCCGGCCGGGGATTAAATCCGGTTTGTCATGGTGGGAGGTAAGTAATCTAACCGCTCAGCCACCGTGACGCCACGAAAAAACAGTGACTCCACTTTTCTGTTCCATTTAAGGTAATTTCGTGAAGCAATGGAAGTAGTGATCCACACTGGTCTGCCCTCAACGTCAATACGCAAGAGTGAAAATAGTATAAACTTTGAGTTTTGTTTATTGTGTCCCTGTCATCATAAAGAAGCTTTAGTTAAAAATTCGAAATCCATACAATAACTAAGGGGATCTCCCATTTCCCTCGCTTGCATTCTGGTGCTGCTGTATACTCACCTCGCTTCACCATCATCGGCTCTCAAGACCTCAATATTAATAGCCGTCCAAATCTCTTCTCTCACATCTGTCACAACACTGATGTGTTGGTGCTAACTATTAGGTTTCCGAAACTTCCCAACCAATCGTTCACTTTTAACACAATTTCCGCCGAAGCATAAGGAGACTGACTCGAAATGCGTGAAGATTGACTTCATCCCACAACACTTTATAGAAACATAGTATATATTTTAATAAATCCACAAACTTCCTCGAAGAAAAACGACGAAATCAATATTAAGTTACTTAACACACATTCCGATAATTCACAATTTTGAAATCCTAACCGAATGATGAAAGGATTATTTAAAATATCAGCCGCACTACATCGGCTTAAGACACAAATATTTTTCCTGATAAATTATTATTATATTAAAAATTGTAAAAATATTTCGCACTGTAGTTTGCGAAGACTGTGAATAAGATCTAAACCCCGGATCATATAATATCGCTTAAAGGGAATCGCTGCTAGCAGTCAGGCATATGATATGTCTAGGGCCTAGGCTCTCCGAAGCCCACTGCTCAGGTTCGCAAATCGGTTATCCTCTGCCAGAATACCGAACGCCATGGTGCATGTATCCAGAACAAGGTTTTATGACGAACTAAAATGGCGATTTTGAGCTGTGGGTGGAAGGACCTCTGCCCTTTGCACGGAGAGCGCTACGCACCCCCCTCCTCCGACCGCCACCCCAACACGAGAGTGTGTCTTCGGGTATGTGCCTCCCTACCCCTCCAGCAAAGAAAATGTTTTCGGTTCGCTGGAGCACTGACTGCCTCGGCTAGGCACCCTCTGCACCACCAGCCCAGAACACATCTTTGTCTATCACAAACTCTGTCCAACTGCTTACCTACCCTCATGAAATGAAGTTGCAATTTTCCAAGGTGTTTATTTGTTTGCAAAGCTACCCACGAATTTTAATTAAACCTGCCTGCCTAGCTCTACTCTCTCCTCTGCTCCCCAAGTTTCCAATTTCACCTGGACACTGACCCGTCGAGAAAAACAGTTTCTCCGACCGAGACCCTGTTTTACCTCCAGCAAAATAAAATTTGCTAGCCAAGTCCAGCTGATAAAATTTAGTTTTCTCAACACTAGGAATAAAATATTTTCCCAATATTTTAATCTTCAGATAATTGTAAATTTTATATTTTAATCCAATAAATTTCATTCACAATATATAAACTTTTCTAAGAACCTGTTTTTAAGTTTAATCCTGTAAACTTTGAAGACATTTTATAATTTTATCCCATTTTCCAACAAACATATTAAAGTATTTCGTACAAGGCAAATACAAGAGATATTTTCACTTGATAAATTTTGGGAGAGTTTAAGACTTTTTATATAATTTAAGTATTCTAAGAACACCTTTTTTCAAACATGGATCTTTCGATTTAAACAAACTCAAGTTAAAACTAAATGTCTTTAAATTCAGGGGTAATGGAAACATACATATTCAATCTGCTTTAAATATTTGTCCATTTTCACGTGTAGATTTATCCATAGGATTCGCAGCCTATATTTTTAGTTACACTATCGTATAGGAAAATTTAAATAATTTTGTTGAAGTTTAATATTTTATATTAAGTAATAATTTGTTCCAAATTTATTGTAAACAAATAAGTTGTGTGTTTGGGACTACAGCAAGAGCGAAGTGTTTACAAAAGATATGGGGGATGAGGGTAGAGACAGCTAGTGGGTTGAGAGCTTGGGGAGCAGGCGAAAGTCAGGTAACAAGAGTTGAGGCTGTGCGAGACAGCGCTACACAATAGGCAGTGGGCGAGAGTTTTGCTCACACGTGGGGAAACAGGCTGGACAAGAAGATGAAAGGAGTTTCAGAAAATTGCAGCAGCCCAGAGCGCGCGGTAGCATGTAGACCTGCTCACTTCGCCCGACTGCTCCCATCCTCCCAACAGCTACCTTCTCCCACTAGTGCTCATCATGCAAACCCTGCAGCCATCTGTGTGATACAGCCAGCAAGAGAAGATTGTCCTTGACTGTCACCTTCAGTAAACACCGAGCTTCCTGACCTGGCTCACCTAGTCTATATTTCCCATCGTGCAGCTTTTTGAATTTGGAGTAAGCGGATTGTGTTTACAACATTTAAATTTAAACTCACAATATTGCATTGAATTTTAAGCCCAGTTTTGAAAACTATTTGTTTAAGAATAAAACATTACATTTTAATGTGGTTTTAAAAAATAATGTGAATTGCTCGACACCATCAAAATAAAACCAGTGTAAACAGTCAAAAATATAAAAAGTAGTATACGCCATTAAACATAAAAGTAACTGTCAATGTAAAAACTTTTTATAATTTGAATAAAGATTTTGTCTAGAAAGTTTTTAGCGAAGCTGTTTTACACTCTATTTTAATTATACTAAGTAAACACACTCACATAATAAAAATAATTAAATTATACTGAAAAATTCTGGAAACATTGTCCTATTTCAAGAAACTGTAACATTAAAACACAAAAGCCCACAGATTTCTAATCCAAGAAACGAATTCTGGGAAACATCCAAGTTCGAAGAAATATAATATATCATGTTTCAATTACATTCTAAATATTATTAAAATGAAATCACATTCTAAATGTCTCTAAGCTGTAAAATTCCTCGAAATTTTATCACATTTCCAAGAAATGTTACATTAAAAGCAATTAAAAAACACTAGATGCAAATACTAATTGAATTGAAAATCAAATTCAACTATTTAACACCCAAACACGATAATTTTAATTAAAAAAAACACTCCCAATTATCACTTAAATGTGAATCAGCAATTAAACGAATCTAACACAGGTACAATCGAACCATTTATCAAATGTAAAGGATTAACACCTAAATATGAATTTCGTCACAATTAAAAGGAATCAATCACAATGCATTATGTCACAAATGAAAGGAAATAAATGTAATGGATTATCGCTCAAACATTAATCGAATGAAACGATAATCCAATCAACCAGTGGATTGATTGCACAATAAATTGCACATCCAATCCCTATCCAGAGGTTTATGAAATTCAAAAACACATCAACTATGATTACCAAAATTTTTTATTATCATAATTTTACAAACATTGTATTACAATCTTTTAAGATCTTTATTTATGTATGATATGATTGTGTAACTGAAATAATTTTTAATATTTTATAAGACCTATTAAGCATAAATTTTTTTCTCAAAGATACCTTTCTGTTTCGATATTTGAATATATTCACCAACTTTGAACTTTTGTTTTCCTTCATCGATTACTTTAACATTATTGTCCACAATTTTCATCAAAATAGTGTCCGTAACATTTTCTGGCGCCATTTTGATAGTTCTATGATATCTGGAATTATAAAATTTAACTATTTCAGGTAAAACATCCACCCATTTGAAGTCCCCCTCGGTGTGAAATTCTTATATGTTAACTGCTTAATTAATGTGTTGTATTGTTCCACAACACTGGTTTTAAGGTTTGAATACATTGCATAGTGATTAATACCATATTCTGTCATTAGTTTCTGAAATGGTGCAGAAAAAAATTCGGATCCTCTGTTGGTTTGAAGCGAATTTGGTGTTCTCTCTTTCAAAACGATCTTCATAGAATCGCTGACATGTTTCCCAGTTTTGTTTTTCAAAGGTTTACCCCAATCATATTTAGAATAAACATCTATTATGGTTTAAATATACTTGTATCCATTATTGTATTTCGAAAGCAAAGTCATTCCACACAAATTGGCTTGAAAAAGAGCATTTAAACCATCAGTTATAACTCTTCTTCTAGGATATCTTTTCCTTGCAGGGGTGTGAAGCTCTTGAGCATTCTTACTGATCTTCATTGGT